ACCAATGGAAGAGTCAATAATGGTTTTAAATTTTCTGCACACACTTCCAGTCACAGCTAACAATATCAGACTTTGAACGCAAAAAGATCCAGTCCTGGCAAAACTGAAACAGTTGGTGGTGATGGGGGAAACAAAAGGGCCGTCACAACCAGAATTGAAACCTTTCTGGACCCAGAGAGACCGAATCATAGTAGAGGACGGCATATTATTATGGGGAGCAAGAGAGATTGTCCCGAGCAAAGATCACCACCAGATACTGGCTGAACTCCACCAGGGTCATCCAGGGGTTTCCAAAATGAAGATGTTGGCAAGACATTATTTCTAGCGGCCAGGACTGGATGCAGACATAGTCGTGTTGGTGGGGCAGTGCCCAGAGTGCCAACAAGGACAAAAATTACCAGCAACAGCTCCCCAACATTCATGGGAATGGCCGGGTAAACCTGGACTCGGCTACACGTCAACTATGCAGGTCCTTTCATGGGCTCAATGTTCTTAGTCATTGCGGATGGCCACTCAAAGTGGCTGAGCGTGCACAGAGTTCATTCGTCAAAGACGGGGACGATAATCAAGAAACTGCATGCATCTTTTGCAACACACAGACTCCCAGTAGTGTTGGTCACAGATAACAGGCCATCGTCTACCAGCAGGGAATTTGAGTATTTCCTAAAGTCAAATGGCATTCGTCATATAAGGACAGCTCCATACCATCCATCATCCAATGGTCTGGCAGAAAGAGCAGTCCAAAATTTGAAGGCAGGCTTAAAGAAACAACCTACAGGGTCACTATATACCAAATTGTCCCAGTTACTATTTGATTATCAGACCACCCCTCATGAAACTATAGGGATAGTTCCAGCAGAGTTTCTACTGGGGAGAGGACTCCGCACCAGGTTAAATCTGATGTTCCCAGACCTGGTGGTAGTGGTGGTTGGTGGGGGCGGGGTGTGCGTTGGTGAAACAGCATCAGGAACACCAAGGTCAGACACAAAACACTGCTAAGTGCGAGAGATTTACTTCAGGGAATGAAATTTGGTGTAGGAACCATGGGAATGGCCCTGCATGGGTAAGAGGCATGGTCAGCATGAGGTCTGGTCAAGTGACGTATAAAGTTTGAGTAGGTGTGGCAGTCCTGCACAAGCATGTGGACCTATGAAAGCTGCAAGCTTGCAAATGTGGCAGGAGCAACATGTGCCCAGCTCCTCAGAACAATCGGAAAGGCTGGCAAAACTCATGGGTTCTCCCCCTCCTTCAAGCGTTGAAGATACCTCAAAATCTGAGATGGACACGGTGGATGTCTCCGCCTCGATGCCTTTGCTGCCTGAAGAACAGTGAATTTCTTCCGAGATGCTCCGGGCGCAAGAGGCGACCTACTGCACGTTACACGCCGCATCTACCACAGGCAGAGTCAGAGGAACCTGACCCGGTGCTTAAACACTGTAGGAGGAGCTACAAGAAAAATAACTGGCCTATGTCCTCAGCCTCAGAGGGGGAGAGATGTAGTGATTGTAACGAGGTCAGCCAGGTCGACCTCACAGAATATGAGTTCCCTGATTGGGGCTGTTAATCTGGTCCAATCAGGGAGCCCTGGCTGACAGATATAAACAGGAGGGTCAGAGGGTGTGTTCACTCTGAGAGCTGGTTCTGAGGAAGCTGGATCAGTGTCAAAGGCTCTCCATGTGTAAATAAAGGGTGATGGGATACCGGCCTCTGTGGAGTTATTTAAACGAGGTTTGAATCAGCAGTAATCTAAGCTCATTATCGAATGAGAGCCAAATTATTTTTATTCATTTATGATTTTTTAAAGGGAATCAAAGGTTATGGGGAAAAGACAGGAAAGTTGAGTTGAGGATGATCAGATCAGCCATGATCTCATTGAATGGTGGAGCAGACTTGATAGGCTGAAGAGCCTACTTCTGCTCCTCTGTCTTATCGGAAGGAGGCATCACTGGCAGGGCCAGCATTTGTTGCCCATCCCTAATTGCCTTTGAACTGAAAGGTTTACTCGAGCCATTTCAGAGCGCTGTTAATAGTCAACCACATTGCTGTGGGTTTGGACTTACATGTAGGTCAGACCAGGTAAGGATGGCACTTTCCTTCCCTAAAGGATATTAGTGAACCAGATGGGCTTTTGTAACAACTATGGTCACCATTACTGAGATTAATTTTCAATTCTAGATTTACAAATTGAATTTAAATTCCACCAGCTGGTGTGATGGGACTTGAACCCATATCCCCAGAGCATTAGTCAGTGAATTTACTGTTCCATCATCAACCCTTCATAGAAAACTGACTGCATACTAAGATTTTATATAAGATACACGTGAATTCTCCAACCCTGGCCTTGGCGTTCTCAAACACGCTGAGATTTGGACATGCACTAATATTATAATACCACTCCTCTTCCAACACAACAATCTGAGTGTTGGCAAACTACATAGGCATCACCACTGACCTCTGACATTTCCTTCCTTCACATTGACACCTTTCTGGCATGACAGTAAATGTGGCAGGACCTTGGCTCCTGATCAGTGCACTCACCCCCTCCTGGAAAGTCTGGATGTGCAGATGCCAGGCCAGCTCAGGGTTGCGAAGCTCCCTCAGTCAAACAGCTGAGAAGCACTTGCTCTTTTAAATGGACATTGTAAAGGATGGCAACGTTGAGCCACGGTTTAAATAAAAAGGTCATACTTTTTTACCCCAAAAACATGCATGCATGGCTGCCAAGATCTTATAAAGTTTTAAATCATAACAATTTTTTTTGTAAAAACAATTCATTGAATTCAGTACTACGATATGAGAGAGATATTGCTTTGGAATTTGAAAGAAAAACCAACGGTTTCAAGCAGACTGAATTCCCAGAAACAGTGGACAGAAAGCAACAATGTGGAGGAGGGTCTAGAGGGGGTGGTGGTGTGTGGAGAATGGAAGGCCAGAGGTCAAATCTAGCAATATTCCCATGGCGACGATTTGTGGGACATGTGGTAGGTTATTTGCTCTTTAACTACCACAAACGTTGCCCCCAGGGCATTGAGTTCAAATCACCGCAACTTTATTTGGATTGCCATAGGACCGTTGTAGATTCTAAAATGGCCCCCACTGGTCACCCTCAGGAGGACTGAAGGTGAACTGACTCTTCCCTTCCCCCCAGCTCACTTTGGCTCGCCAACCTCAACAGGAAATGCTGCTGGAAGAACACCGAGTTCTATGTGCATAAATACTCGCACAGATGCGGTTAAATGTTTCAGACAACTTTACTGCATGCTTTCTCTCTCTCTCTCTCTCTCTCTGGTTCCCTCCGCAACAAGCGTTGTCCACTGTGACCTCTCCCAGTGATCAACAGACAGCCAGAATCTGAGGAATGTGAGGCCTGTGAAGGCCAGAGAGTGCGTGCGTGCGTGTGTGTGTGAACAGAATGATCTACAAGGAATTGCACGGGAAGGTCTCAAACCTGTGTTTTCGCTAAGGATGAGAGTGGTACTTTCTGTGGGGTTGGCAGTGTAGGAGGGGAAGTGTTGGGGGGGAAAGAGAAAATACCAATGCACTTTTGTGAGAAAGAAAAGCCCCTGCTGTTTTTAAAGTCATCAATTACAACCTATTCGCAGGCCAAGACTAGAATTGTGGCACTCTTTGCTCTGCGGGCTGTTTGCCAGCTCCCAGCTTCACACTAATAGAACTGCAGATCATTCACCTCCTTTCTCCACCCTCAAGGCAATGACTGGAGAATCCTGAACCTTTTCCCTTGGAATAAGCAGTGAGGAAGCAACAATTTTGAATCCTGCCCCGCTCCCACTGAATAGAGGTTCATGCAAATCATTTCAAGTGCAAATCATGCTCTTGATTCCCTCCCATAACAGCACCAAGGGTGCTCCTCCACTACACGGATCGCAGTGGTTCAAGAAGGTATTCATTGCCAACTTCTCAAGGGGGAATTAGGCATAGGCAATAAATGCTACAGTAGCCAACAGTGCCCACATCCTGTGTGAGGATAAAAAAAAGACAAGCATCATTATCTGAATGGAGGCCAAACCTGTTTATTCATCGGCAAACTTGAGCTCATCTGAGAATCTGCTAACCTGCATCCTAAACTACACTGAATCCTGTTCAGCTATCACACCTATACTCACTGAAGCCTGGTCTTGATTTTCATTTGCATCCTGCTTTCCAAATTCCTCCATAGGTCTCTGCCCTCCCCATCTCTGTGAAGTCACCCAACCCTATAAACCTCCAAGCTCCTCCCGATTTCAAGTTACTCTGTGCCTTCATTTGCCTGGGTGCCAAGCTCTAGAATCCCCTCCCTTAACATCTCCACCTCTGTCCCCTCCGAAAGGTCCTCCCGTCTCCATTACATGCAACTTGGAGCTGAATTTTGTAGCTGATAACACTCCCTTTGGAATGTTCAAACTACAAAGGTGCTATAGCAATGCAAGTTGTTGTTACCACAATCTCTAAAGAAGGAGAATTTCGTCTGAACATTTCAGCATCGCTGGCATCTCACCGAGCAACATCAATCCATTTGCAAACTTATTTGGACAGTACAGTAGCAGAAATTCCCACTGTATAACTACCGTTACCAGAGCAATTCACTCCTCATTTTGCAATCAAAGCACAAGATCGCATTCCCCGTTATCACACACCTTGCTGCTCTCCGGTCAAATCCAACTAGTTCGTTCAGATGACTGGCTGAAAACTTGCATTGAAAACAAAATCGCAGTGCAGTTATCACATCCCTTGTTTCACATCTCCATGCAGATCACAACATTCCTGTATAATACTCAATCCTGAATTCCAGCAAGGAACTGACGATAACTCCACAATTGCAAAGGCTTCTCTGAGTTTCCTCACCTTCCATGCAAGCGCAGCTTAAAATCGGGGAATGCCAAAATTGGGAATGATAGGTCTGCATCTGAATGGGGGCAGGGGGTGGACAGATATGTCAAGGCTCTCTGCCTCAAGCTTCTAAGTCCTTTAATACCAAACAGTGGAAAAGAACAGTCTCCTACCTTTGCACTTGTTGGTTGTCTTGTCCAGAATGGCCTTTGTGGAGACTATTTTACCGTACCTGTTACAAAGAAAAGGACAATTCAGAAATTACATAAATCAGCATTCAGGCCATTAATCTAGGTTTGAGCCTCCAGGGGAAGCTCTGACAGAGTGTTGCACCGTCAGAGGTGGCATATGTCAGGCAAGATGTTAAACTGCAGCTCCATTTGCCAATCCTGTGTGGATGTAACAGCTACCCTGGTATTATTTCAAAGAAGAGCAGGGAACGGGGTGGCGGTCTCTGAGCTGCTGACCAATATTTGTCCTTCAGCCTGCATTACAAAAAAGCAGATTATCTGGTCATTGTCATGTGGGAGCTTGCTATGTGCTAAATAGCCATTGCGTTTCCCCCTACAATACAAGAGTGCTTACACTTCAACAAGTGCTACATTGACTATAAGAAGCTTAGGGTGTGTTGAGGTAGGTGTTATATAAATGCAAGTCTTCTGTTCTCTGTTGAGTCAATGCCAATTCAAAGTCCAGTTCTTCTGATTTGCTGGTTCGAACACATCATTGGTTTCTGAATGTTCTGATGTTCCATAATCCTCCTCACTAATCTTTAAAAACATTTTTCTACCCAGAAAATCGATTTCTGTTTCAAATTTTTGCATGGGCCCACCCCGAGGGCTGCACTTCTTGACGTCAGAGGTGGTCCCAATCACAATGCAGCCACCCTAACCCCTTCCGTGATGCCTGACCAACCCCTGCCCAAAGTTCACAGCCTCCTTCCACTGAGAAAACAACCAATGTTGGAATGGACCACCCGCAATTTCCAACAAAGCTTTAACCCACTGATCATGTCTTCCTGTTGACACGCATTAGAAAATTATGAAAAGTAGCACTATTGTTCAGTCTGTAGACAAGAAGACAGGGATTAGCTTTCAATTGATTGAAAGGTTTTTACTCAATTCTCCAACATAGTACCAGTCAAGATGCTAAAATCCCATTTGTCCCTGGGCTAATACTTCAGAGCTAATACTTCAGGTTCAAATCCTACAAGTTCAATTTCAAATTAAATTTAAAAAACTAGCTTAGCGGCAACCGCTATCAATTGTCAAAAACCCCATCTGGTTCACTAATGTCCTTTAGGGAAGGAAATCTACAGTCCTTACCTGGTCTGGCCTACATGTGAATCTAGACCCACAGCAATATGTTGACTTTTAACTGCCCTCTGGGTAATTAGGGATGGGCAATAAATACTGGCCTAGTCAGTGATGCCTTCATCCTGTAAATTAATATAATAAGAAAAATGACGTGTGGGGAAATGCATAAATGGAGTACCAACAGGATTCTGGTGCCATTTTAAGTGTCACCTTGTGGGTGGAATATGAAATTGAGGGCCTCTCCGGTGGATGTAAAAGATCCCAAGGAGGGTCTGAGGAATCCTCCAGTGCTGCTTAACCAGCATCATTGAGCCATTGCTACATTGCTGTGTGCAAAGAGGCTGTGACTGCACTTGCAAAGGACTTCATTTGCCTTGTGGTATCTTAACGACAGTGCACAATGAGATACCAATTATATTCAATTCTTACACACCCATGTGACTCTGTCCTCATTGCTATCCCCTGTCTTATCTCTCTGCTCCCAATATGTTCATATCCTATCCTCTTCTCACAACAATCCACACTTTAGCATGCACTTCCATAAAACGGCACTGTGGCCAAGCAGCTGTCCAAACAGCAAATCCTCCCCTCATGCTCCAACCCTTTCCTTTGCACAATACCTATAACACACTCACACCTTCGTAATCCCTGCCCCAAGACTCTCCCTGCCCATCCCTAAATCTCTAACAGTGCAAAGCATCAAACACCACTTGGTGTTCAGCACCATTCGCTACTCCTCAGATATTGAAGCAGTCCAAGGCCAAATGCAGCAAGGTCTGGACAATATCCAGACTTGGGGGAACAAGCAGAAAGTTACATTCATGCCACACAAATGCCAGGCAATGAACATTCCCAATAAGAGAGATTCTAACCATTGTCCCATGACATTTGACAACATTACCATGACTGAAACCTCCACTCTAAACATCCTGGGGGTTACCATTGACCAGAAACAGAACTTAACTAGCCATATAAATACAATGGCAACAACAGCATGTCAGAGGCTGGGAATCTGCAGCAAGTAACTAACCACCTAACTCCCCAAAGCCTGTTCACCATCTACAAGGCACAAGTCATGGAATACTCCCCACTTGCCTGGATGGGTGTAACTCCAACAACACACAAGAAGCTTGACACCATCCAGGATAAAGCAGCCCACTTGATTGGTACCACATCCACAAGCATCCACTCCCACCACCACCAACGCTCAGTAGCAGCAGTGTGTAGCGTCTACAAGATGCACTGCAGAAATTCACCAAAGATCCTGAGACAGCACCTTCCAAACCCACAACCACTTCCATCTAGAAGGACAAGGGCAGCAGATATATGGGAACACCATCACTTTCAAGTTCCCCGCCAAGCCACTCACTATCCTGACTTGGAAACATATCACTGTTCCTTCAGTGTCACTGGGTTGAAATCCTGGAGTTCCTCCGTAAAGGCATTGTGGGTCTACCTACAGCACACAGACTGCAGTGGTTCAAGAAGGCAGCTTACCACCACCTTCTCAAGGGGCAATGAGAGATAGGCAATAAACGCTGGGCCAACCAGTGACATGCATTCCTCAGAATAAAATAAAACAAAACACCCAAATCCACTTGATCAACACAGGAAACATAAAGTAAGAATGAGAGAGACTGATACACACAATAGCAGAATGCTCTCAGTGGGCCGAATATTATACTCCTGCTCGGATTTCTCATATTCAAAGCAAGCAGTCTGCCTTGAATGCTTTCCCCCTTCCTAGGAGGGAAAAGGTTACCAGAGTGAAATGAATCAGGAGCCTCTATAAATAAATCCTGTCACGTGCAAAAATATTTCCTGTTCTCGTCAGCTTCAGCCTCGAGAGTGCGTATAAATTTCCTGAATGACTCATTCAAGCAAAGGCATCCGTGTGATCTCATGCTCTTTCTCAATGGCTCGGTGTTCATTACAGTTTATTCCGGTGATTAATTGCACTGGTGGCCAAGTGCGTGCAAGAAGCCACAGACTGATCCAGGCTTGGTCTCCTGAACAGGAGACAGCATCCGTTCCCTTTAGCACTCACTCTGCCATGCTGGCCAGTGAGACCAGAGATCCGGGCACCACCAGCTCAGCCTCGGGCATGATCGCTGGCCTGGGGTGCCTTCCCTTTACTTGAACACCTTCAATGCCAAGGAGCATTGCTGCCCAGCCCTGTATAACTCTTCACAGCTCATCAGGGTTACCAGTAAATGAGCTGGAGTGGAATCTTAGTTGAGAGACACCTCTACCCCTTTTTAAAGATTACAATGAATTCTACTGAATTACATTGATCAGAGTGACAGGCTATTTGGCTCATCTGCTCCATGCTGGTGTTCACACTCCACACAAGCCTCCTCCCAGCCGACTTTATCACACCTTGTGCTTCTATTCCTTTCCCCCTTCTGTACCTGTTGTGTGTCATCTCAGATAGTCATAGAGCACAGAAACAGACCCTTCGGTCTAACTCGTCCAAGCTGACCACTACCTCCTCTGGATGTTCATTCCACACATGAACCACTCTCTACTTAAGAAAGTTGCCCCCTAGTCTTGAAATCATCCACCCTAGGGAAGAGACACCTGCCATTCACCTTAGCTATACCCTTCATGATTGGGCCCAAACCTGAATACGCTGCTGGGCATTCTCTACGCCAGTCTCCACTGGCGTCCAGCTTCATGTGAAGCCTGGTGCCTCTGGCCCCCTTCCCTTGGCCCACTGAGGGGGACATGCCAGCAAGATTGGTCAATGCAATGTTCAAAGGATATTTCTGGTTTGAAAATTGCCAGTGCGGATGGGGCCTTTTGTGCTGCCAGTGTCATGTGCTGTCATCCTGTGCCAACCACCTTCATGCCAACTGTACAAGCAAATCACCAGAGCCTGGACACCCGCCTCTGCCAACTTTACCCAATGACACTGTTGACAGCAATGCCTGTCGCTTGACTGGGAGTAGGGCTGGTTGATCTGGGCACCAGTTTAATGAGCCAATGCCTGGCAGATTGGATCCCAACCATGCCGAGGGGTTGGCCCATCCAGCTGCTGCAAACATCAACATCTGGAGCACCAGGGGAGCTGTGAAGCTATCTGGGCACAGGCCTGAAGAGAATCTGCCCACTAACCCAGCAAGAAGCAGGGTGGGCATCATGTGCACAGTCCATTTTGGTTTAAAAGCTAGCATCAGGCCATGTGGTGTGTCACATCTGCCCTCATCCTCCCAAACGCTTCATTCGAAGCTTAACGCAAGCTCGAGGAGCAGCACTTCATCTAGTGGCCGATGTTAGTTACAAAACTGAAAGCAACAATCTCATCACATAACTACTGCGTCTCTTGGACAGCAGATGGTAGCAATGGCTCTGCTGTTGCCATGGAGCCCTCCTCCATGTCCATATGTTATTTCTTTATTTGTCCCATTAGTGCCCCCTTTTGTTTTAGAACAGAGAACATAGAACAGTACAGCACAGTACAGGCCCTTCGGCCCACGATGTTGTGCCGAACTTTTACCCTAATCCTAAGGTCTATCTAACCTCCACCCCTACCTTATACTGTCATCCATATGCCTGTCTAATAGCTGCTTAAATGCCCCTAATGAGGCCGACTCCACTACCCTCTCTGACAATGCATTCTACGCCCCCACCACTCTCTGGGTAAAGAACCTACCTCTGACGTCTCTCCTATATCTACCTCCACTCACTTTAAACCTATGCCCCCTTGTAATAGCTACCTCCACCCTAGGAAAAAATCTCTGGCTGTCCACTCTATCTATACCTCTGATCATTGTGTACACCTCTATCAAGTCACCTCTCATCCTTCGTCATTCTAAACAGAAAAGCCCTAGCTCTCTCAACCTTTCCTCATAAGACCTTCCCTCCATTCCAGGCAACATCCTGGTAAATCTCCTCTGCACCTTTTCCAACGCTT